CCGCGTCGCACGTGCTGAGATCCCCACAGTTGCCTGCACAGTTTATGCTCGCGTGCCCCCTGTTGACTGGAATATGGATTGGCCCTTCACGCCGTGTGCGCCTGACTCGGCCATCCGCGACTGTTTGCCTGGCTTGGCCCCGGCGGTGTATCGAGTGCGTTTCTGCGCTGCCTTGTACCCGCTGCTCGCACAGAACGATGAATTACACCTCCCTCGCCGACGGCAGCCTGCGAAGTTGCTGCGAAACGAGGAAAAAATCTCCATCCGCATACACGGGAAGGACACATGCCGCACAGAGAGAGAGTTGCCGGCCACTCCCGCTGCTCTCTGTCCTCCTTAGGTGTGAGCGAAGGACTGGTCCGCCGCCGCCTGTGAGCACTGCTGGAACACCACCGACGTCAGCCTGGATCCACGCCACGACGCACGGCCTCGGAGTTGGTGACGCCTGTGAGTGACGAAACGGCACGAGGGCTGAGCGGGTGCATCTCCGTGGAGTGCGAGCGTCGCAGGGGCGTCATCCCGCGCTGCTCTCTCGCCGTCCCGATTGGCATCTCGACTGCGTTTGACACCGTTGACGATGGGCGAGTGCTGGCTGTGCTCTGCGGGCTCCCGCACCTCTGCTGTCGCGCCCAACGCTGGTAGCGCAATCACCTGCGAGGCGGCTGCGCTGGGGTGAGTGCTCGCGAGCAATATTCCCGACAGCAGCTCGCCTCAGCCGTGGCAGCCCAATGCAGCAGGTGGAGGCCACTGATCCGAGGAACATTTGTTTGACTGCGTGTGAGCCGCTGCCGTGCGTGGTGCATGGACTATGTGATTGTGTGGGGAGGTGCATGGGGTGACGAATACTTCTGTTTGGCGTGTCGCGGTGTGTCGGAATGACGTTCGGATGACATGTGAAGGGTGTTGTTTGTGATTTGTGTGTCTTTTCTGGTGGAGCCGACATGTGTGCGGGGATTGTGGCATTGCTGGCTGACAGTTCCACGTCACTTTTCAGCATTCCTGGATGTGCTGAGGAATGACGGCTGGCGACCAGCGTGTTGGTGCTGCCGGTGGGAATAAGTGCATCGGTAATAGGCCGTTTTCTCTTTTCCGTGCTGGAGCCGATGGACTGGCACGAGGACACCGGCTGCAGGCTGCCTGCCAGCACGTGTGAGCAGCGGATGCATGCACACACCGACGCTCATCGCAAGAGCTTGTGCGATCACAGTGGCTTTTGTGGCGTGCCTTTGTGGGCGTCATTCCGTCGAAGAATGTGTGAAGCAAACGGCTGACTGCACACGAGGAAAATAAGTGCGTGCACTGTGCCGTGTTTCAGCGTCGATGGCGGAGCGGCAGGAGGCCCGTGCTGGCAACTGAGATCTTTGCGTCGCGAGGGATGTCAGTGCTGATTTTGGATCGTCGGGGGTGAAGTGATTTTGCTGCTGCCCGTGTGTGTGGCCACTCCGGCAGAGGGCGGACACAGAAGGGAGGGATGCAGACGCTGCGTGTGTGTGTGTGCAGGTGCCATGCAACAACGTCACAACAAACATGCTGCGACTCGGTGACCCTCACATCGTTGTGGTCCTCACGAGCAGCCGAGGCACGGCCCACACCGATGCACTTAGTGGACGGAGTGAGGCATCTTTTGATGTGCTGCAGGGAGCAGGATGTGTTGACGCAGCCACGACGTGCATGGAGTGTCGCGATGGCACAGTCAGCTGTGGCTGGTGGAATATTTACTTCTCGGAGGCAACAGAGAGAGAGAGCTGCTCCTGCTGCTGGCGTCGTTGCTGCCTTTTGTGGCCTCCCATGCCGATTATTGTCTGTCCGCTGATCATGGGTGGCATGCCTCCACTAGTGACGTCGTCTGCAGGCATTTCACAGCACCAGTGAAACACACATCACGTCGCATGCTTTGGCTGTGGATATGGTGTCGTGAATGCAGCCGGCATTATTTTGCCCGACTCCCTTTCACTGCCTTGCGACAAATGGATGCGTCCCCGCCCGAGTCATTCACTGCAGCTCCGTGTGTTGTACTGCCAGCACAAGACTCCCTTGTTGTGTGACGCCTGGCTGACAGTCAAACACCACTGCGCTGGGGCATGCAAGGATGTGGAGTGCCGCTCACGGTGTTGGGCACCGCTGTTTGGATGCGGCGGCCACACGAGCGGATGTATTGTGGCACAATCAAATGCGTGAAATACGCGGAATCACAGCGGCTGCAATAATATCGACGGTGTGGCACCACGGAGGATGTGAGGGGGTGATGCATGATGAATCACAGCGGGCGGCATGCGAGGGAAGTGCACCGCGACGGAGCGTCATCCCGCCCTCAGCCTGCAGGGGAATGTACGCCCACAAAATATATGGCCGAGGCACCACCAAACACACATGCCCTTCCATGCAGCAATAAATAGGAGCGAAGGTGCGTTCTGGTGCGTGGGAGTCCACTCACATATTCTCATTTCCACCGCAATAAACGGTGAGGAATCAGGTGCCACAGCAACGAACGGAGGAAATAAAAGCACCTATTGCAGCACTTTACCAGCGAAAGGCAGGAACAACACAAACCGAATTGTTGGCTGCACCAACACAAGAAACATTCACAAGAGAAAAAAACAAATAATTATGCACCTTGCGGAAATTCTTGAAACACACGATCCAGGCATGAGGGTTTGTCCTCTGCAGAAATGAAAAAAAGCATGCAGACATCCGCCAACATCCAAACAGAAACACAAATAAATGATTGCTTGCATTATTGCATTCCTTGCGCTTGTTTTTTCGTGTGCGGCTGCTGCTGCGGTGGTGTCCGGGCCTGCATGAAATTGAGTGCGATGAATGTGGACGAAGGCCCACTGCAACTGAACTGCTTGTGGTGAATATTGGCTGCACTTCCCGTGGACCAACAATCCACGTGGTGTGCGGGGATCTTTTTTTTGTATTGTTACTTTGCTTTTGTGTTGCTGTGTGCGCTGCACCTTCTTGTGTGTGTGCGCACCCTCCGTGAGGGGTGCCGACACGACGGACCGCTCTCGCCGTATGTGCATGCGGTGGAGCCTTGTGTGCCGCTCCTGTTTGCTTCTCCCTCCTCCATCTGTGTGTTGTTGTTGCGGCAGGGCTGTGTGTGTGTGTGTGTGCCTGCTGCCGTAGATTGGAGTGTGTGTCGTGCGTGGTGTGCGGCGTACGGTGCATGCCTGGCTGCTGCCCTCTCCTCATGTGGTGTGCCCTCTGTGTGTGTCTGCCGCACCTCTCGTCTCCCCTGTTGCTCTCCATTTCCCTCACTGTGCAGATCAGCTCCACACCACTGAACGACCACACTCACGATGATGACGTGCCGTCTGCTGTGCGCCCTGTTGGTGCTTGCCCTGTGCTGCCGCCCGTCCGTGTGCGTTTCAGAGGAAGCAACCGCTCAGCCTGTGCCTGAAGGGTCTTCCAATACGACCACGACGACGACCACAACAAAACCACCAACTACGACCACAACGACCACAACACAGGCACCAACCACGACGACCACGACGACCACCACTACAACAGAGGCACCAAGCACTACGACTACAGAGGCGCCAGCTGTGTCGACCACCCGCGCACCGTCACGTCTTCGCGAAATCGACGGCAGCCTCAGCAGCTTTGCGTGGGTGTGTGCCCCGCTGGTGCTCGCCGCCTCCGCGCTGGCGTACACCACTCTGGGCTGAAGAGGTGTGTGCGGGCTGTGCGTGCCAGCACTCAACCGCGGGGATTTGTGCGTGTGTGTTGTGGTCCACTGTACTAAATAAGAGGAAATAATGATCTTGTTTTGCTTCACTTGCTTCTGCTGCCGTGCTGTGTGCTCCGCGTTGTGCCCCGCATCCGCCACGTTGAACGCATCCCGGACACACTCACAAGCATGCGCACTGGAGCCCTGGGCTTGTTTTTCTTTTTTTAATTTCTTTTTTAATTATTGTTTTTTATTGCTTTTTAACTTGTGGTTTGCGGGGCGGTGTGCGAGCTCTGCAATCGTACTGATTCCATCTGTCTCGTGGTGTGTGCGCTGCTGCTGGGGTGCTGCCATTTGTTGCTGTGCGGTGGCTGTGCGTGGTGTACCGGCCGTGTCTATCTCTTTGTTTTTGCTTCCCTCTCTGTTGACGGGGAGTTACTTTTGGTGAAGGCTGCACGCAAGTGACGGGAGTGCTGGCGATGATGACTGGCCGTGTGCTGCTGGTGTGTGCCCTCTGCGTGCTGCGGTGCGTTGCCGGTTTTGGGCACGCAAGTGACGAGTACGGAAGTGAGGGTGGAGGAGATTTGTTGACGCGGACGAATAATGGTGGAGGCGACGGAGTGTCTCTAAATGCGGAATGCGGGTTATTATCCACCTGAATTGGACTAATGAGAGCTGTTGAAGCTGCGGACGGCGATGATGCGATGAATGACACATCCTCAGCGGAGAATTCCGTGGAGTCAGCGTCTGGTGCCGAAGGAAAAGGTGCCGCAGGTGCAGCAGCACCCTCGCTGGACGCTGGCGTATCAGAGGCGGATGAATATAAGAAGGAGTCCAATGCATTTAAGCCAAATGCAAATGCAATAAATACGGGGATCCTACGAAAGGTGCGGCAAATGAGTTTTAATTTCGCACCGCCGGTCAATTTTCTTCTTAATCCGGCAGCACTGCCACTCCACCGGTTGGGGGAGAGCCCCTTCCGAGGATAATACCCAGCCGGAATGAACGGCGCAATGAAACACCGAGAGGAAGGAAAACAAATTATTGCGATAATCCTTGCAGTGATGGAATGGGGAGGCGGAACCAGACGGAGAACATGAAGAAGTGGAAGAAACAACCGCAGCAAGGACACGATGGACAAGATTTGCAACAGTGGCAACAACAGCAATAACACGAATAAGAACAAAGTGCACTGCCTGCCTCACTCACTGGGCCACGGGCAAAGAAAGGGCTACAGGCTCCCGCACAGCTACGGGAGCTACAACGGGAGGAGCTCGCCGCCGGCTTAAAAGAGCGAATGAAAAGAAACGTCTTTTAAATTGTCATGCACAATACAACAAAAGTACTTAACGATCCCACACCACCATACGCTTCTGTAGGTGCTAATGGTGCCGCCACTTCTGTGGCGGACGAGGAAGACGCAAGGGCTCAAAAAAAAGCTGAAACCACTCCAAAGGCATCAACAGAAGAAGTCTGCCAGACACGAACGTCCCGCGGAAATGGCGAAGAATACGCGAAAGACAAAACTGCATTGGCACAAATGCAACTGCAGTTACGGACGACAGTGACAGCAGCGCCGCGGTCTCCCACACCACCTCCCCTCTTTTGCTTCTTGTTGTTGTGTGTGCGGCTGCTGCTGCGGTGGTGGCCGCGTGAGAGTGAGTGTGAGAGAGCCGTGCACCGCCCGCACACACACTCTTCCTTCTCTCTCTGTGTGTGTGTGTCCCCTTGCATGGACTCTCGCCCTCACCTCACCACACGAGGCACACACAATAATGTGCCCATTGTATATATGCATGCACACCCATGCAGGCCCGTTGGTGCTCTCTTTTGCACGTCACGCACCGCTGCCGTCCTGCCTGGCTGCATGGGCGGAGCACCGTAACTGTTTCTGTTTTGTTTTTATTGCATTGAGTGGGCGACCTCTCTCTCTCTCCCTCTGTGTGTGTGTTTTGCTTTACGGGAGCAGTGAGTGTGTGTGCGCTGGTCGTCCCACTTTTGGGCTTTTTGTTTTGTTTTCTTGTTTTGTGGTTGAGTGCACCCATTCCGCGGGCTGCGTGTGTGTGTGTGATGATATGAGTAATTTGCGTGTGTGCTATCTACCTCTCTCTGCCGTTGCTTTCTTCAGACTCTCTTGTGGCGCACAGCTGCTCTGCAAGTATAGGCGCTGCCAAACACACACGCCATTATGCATACTCTGTAGAGCGGCGTGATAGCTGAGAATGGATGCACGCAGAAGATTCTGTCTGCGACGTCTCTTGTGAGGAGGGAGGACGGGAGCCTGCGATTTATTTTTTGACACGTTGCTGGCGTGCAGTCTATTGGGTGGTGTGGCTTAGGGTGCCAGGGACAAGTGCGGATTACCTCCCGTCCAGCAGCTGCACGTGCCAATGTGTATCTCCCATGCTGTGTATACTTTGGTCAGGAATTCCTTGCCTGTGTGGGTGATGTGCGCTGGCGGATGCGCTGGAAGGGTGAACAGTAAAACGAGTGGTAAGAGCGCGTGGGCTTTGCGAAGGACAGTCGTGTTCTTTTGCATTCCGCTGGTTGTTTTGTGTGTGGGCGTTGCGCGGTGTGTGCTGAAGCGTGAATAACAACACACCCGCCGTGGCTCCTGCTGGTGCTGGTGGTGGCAATCGCTGTGTGTTCCCGGTGCACTGTTCTCCCTTCTCGTTCCGTGTGTCTGTGTGCGTGAGTTGTTGTTGTTGGGAGTGACTGCGGCGGGGATGATGGTGCCGTCTACTATAGGTGGCGGTGCTCGCTGTTTCACCCCTTTACTTGGCTTGTTTTCTCTTTTCTCCGCCTCGCACACACACGCTAGGAAGGAAGTTACGACTAAACGCTAATCGCCACTGTGAAATTTGAAGGCACTGAAAGGACTAACAACAGCACACACACCCCCACACACATATTTATATGCTCTCACGTGTTGCTGCAGTGAAGGCACCCCGCACACACAACCGTCGCCGCGTGACCGGATCCAGCGGAAGGAGGAGGGAAGGAAGGGAGAGTGAGCCGCAGAGGCCCAACATGTCCCGGCGTGCGTTTACTTCCGCGGTGCTGCTCCTCCTATTTGTCGTGATGATGTGCTGCGGCACTGGTGGAGGTGTGCAAGCTGATGAGGATCTGCCGGCAGATCCAAAGTATCAATTGGAGGACACTGCTGATGGAAATCTGGAGTCGTTTGGAATT